AAACATTTTCCATTCATATTGCAGGATGGACGCATAAGTTATGAGGAGTTTGCTGCGATGATGAAGGCCGGTACAGATTGGAGAAAAGCATCAAGACAGTATTCAAGAGAAAGATTCAACAGTCTAAGCTTGAAGTTGATGATGGATGGTTCATTAAATTCAGCTAGTCAAGCCTAGTTAAGAAGTAAATCAAGTTAATATTGCAAGGGAAAGAAATATATATATAAATTCCTTGATTTTTGCTGACTACATGATATTTTTTTCTACTACTGGTTTATTTTCATTTCATGCGGATCATTTGGATATAGATTGAATTGCACTCATGTCTAATATTGTCTTTAAATGGTTGTGTTTAGAATATATTCTTCCTGAGGCTGAAGTAGTAGCAGGAGAAGTAAAAGAATTCAACACATATGAGCTATTCACGCTTCTTCCTGCCCAGAAATCTTTGGCATTGTTTAAAGAGTATATATATATATATATAAATCTTGATTGTATAATAAAAAGTAATTTTTTTGGTCTCTTCATTTTACTAGCATATTATGGGTTGGAAATCAAAACCTCTCAATTGCAACGGAACGAAAAATATCACTGTTTATTAATTATAAAGTCGAGTTACTGTATAATACAAGGTCGTGTAGTTATATTTCTGGAATTAAATATCTATCCCATAATTATGAATCCTAAGACGCCTAAAGTATACCTTTAGTTTCTTTTAGTCCCTCATCTTAATAAATTTGAAAGTTTTAATTCTTTACTTTATATTATGAAGTTTTTATCTTTTAAATTTAAATATTTTGTTAACTGTTTGTCAAAGTGAGAATAAAATATTTGTATATAAAATTAGTTCTTAAAGATTAAAAATACAATAATTTAGTCTCAAAGTTTAAAAATAAAAATAAAATAAAATAAAAATAATTAGTGGATGTTTTTGTCACATATATGAAAATAGTACTAAATATTTATAATTAAATGAAGTGATTAGCTCCATCTAAACAGAGAAATCTAATTGAGATTAAAGAAATTTTTTTTTTTGTATTTTTCTAGTATTTTAGATTTTTTGTCTTAATTTAGTTAAGAAATTTTCTTTAATCTTAATCAAAACAGAGAAATCTAATTGAGATTAAAGAAATTTTTTTTTTTGTATTTTTCTAGTATTTTAGATTTTTTGTCTTAATTAAATTAAGAAATTTTCTTTAATCTTAATCAAAATTCTTTCTTTAAATTGAGTTAATTGCTTGATTTATTATAGATATCTAATATTATTCTCTTCTATGTGGTAAAGATATTCATTAATTATTTTTAGCTTAATAATTCTTTTAATTTTTAAACTTTAAAAATTAAATTCTTATATTTTTAATCTTTAAAGGTTGATTTTATAAATATTTTATTCTCATCTTAATGGAGGGTTAATGATTTTGTTAGTTTAAGAGTTAAAATTTTTAAACCTTTAAGTTTAGAACTACAAACTTTATAATATAAAGTAAGAGGATAAATCCTTCAAATTTATTAAGTTAAGGGATTAAAGAAATACTTTAGCCTCATATTTACAAACATGCCCCTGTCTTCTTCCCCTGTTTCTTCTGCGCAGAGCTGGCTCTGTTTTCCAGATTTAGAGCATGAGCAGAGCTTTTTTTTTTCTTTTTTCAATGAATCGCACTGAACAAAGCAGCAAAACGGATTTTTAAAATTTCATGGGGTGCTCCTGGGCATGTCCGACCAAATTTCCTAATTTTATGAGTTGATTGGAGTCCATGAGAAGATGAAGAAAAAGACTGGCTAGATCCATTTCTCTTTTCTTCCATGTACAATTATGATTGTTCTCGAGTGAATGATGAAAACAGTAAGTACTCTTACATCCAAATTAAACTCAAACACAATGACAGTAAGTTTCTCAAACAATTCAAAGTTGAAAACCATGAAAGTAGAACACCTCGAATACATAAAACATCATACATATAACATAGTGTCCATCATACATAAAACTAGAAACGGAAAACACCCATGGAAAAGGAAAAGGAAAACACCAACAAGATATGGAAGAGGAAAACACCCAACAATACATAAGACCAGAAAGCATACGAGTTTTGCTTCAAAACATCATACATATATATAGCATGGTGTTCT